AGATGGCACGCTGAACAGATTTGGCTAAATTTGTCGCCTGTGTTCCTGTGGCACTACTGAATTAGCTGTAAAAAATTTCTGTGAAGGGAGGAAACAATTATTTTGCAAGTCAAGAAGTCAGACTTCTCTCAGAGACAGAGATTTGTTTTTTGCTGGTGTGTATTGAAGCGCTTCTGGACCTGGTGTAGATTTGTCTTCTCCGAACAGAAAAAAAAGTGCCTTTGAACATATTATCATTGCCTTAAAAATGAAAAAGAAAACTATCCCCTCAGGCATTTGACAGGAGGCCAGACCTCAGAGGACAGCTGAAGAGAGACAGACAGGTTTCTAACATCTGTTTTGGGTGGATGGATTGTATTTGACTTTGGCGTTCACATCAAGACAAGGCAAAGGCAGCAGAGGCAGGGCTTGATGAAAAGCACAGTCCAGCAGCCTGCACACTGTCCTGTTGGACCTTTGATGGGAAAAACCCCCAACAGCCATGAAGTGAGGGTGAGAATCCTGGGGTACATGCAAAGCTTTCTGTAGGCTGTAGAGAAGAATCCTGTTAATGCCGGATTGGGCATCCCAAATCAGGTTGTTGCTATAGAGTGATGACTGACAGATGTCCTTGACACACGTCCTTGAGTGAAGCGAGAGCCTTCCTCCCACCCTGAGTTCTCGGGGTGCCTCCCTGCTAGATGAGTTGTGTTGAACAGTGCTGCTATTTTAAGACTCAAATGGTGTGTCAGTGCCCACTTTGTTTTCTGACACAAGGTGCAGCCCCCAGGGCTGAGTCATCAGTGGATCCCTCTGCCTCCAGCTGAGCCTGTTCCCAAAATTTGCTCTCGGTAGTGCTTTCCAAGCCTGCTGCCGACTGTGAGTTGGGAGCACCTATTTGTTCATGGGGTGCATGTCAGAACCCTTATTAGCTCCAGCTCAAAACCGCACTGAGCTCGGGAACAACCTGCAGTTCAGATGACACAAGTATATCTCAGAAGAGTACTGAGGAAAATGCAGCAGAAAGTAGTCCTGTGTGTCCCTCTGAAAGCCCCATTGAAGGGCTCTGGCTCCCTCGTGGATGTGCCTTTGTGGGACAGCAGAGGAACACAGTCCCCATCCATGCACCCTGCCCTCCCGGGCCGGTGCTCGCCTGCCTCTGAACCACGGCAATTTATAACACCCCGAGGACACGAGTGCCCGTTTCAATGCAGCTTTAAGCTGTCAGGCTGTAAATTGTCTTGGTTCAGGAGCTACTTCAAAGCAGCCCAGCCTTCCTGCAGCAAGGAGAAGGCTTTTTGGCAAACCCAGCACAAGTCGTTTGCTATTCATGAGTCAAATCCCTGATATGTTCTTGATCAGCAACTAAAAATGGGTCATAAGAAGACAAGGCATTGCTGTCTGGTGAAGGAAGCTGCAAACTCCGCTGGCCTTCCCCATCTGTTGGCTAAAGCTCTTCTGCTTTCTCAGCAATGGCTTTTCCTCCCTCCCTGCCATTTTCCATTGTGCTCAGCAGCACTGAGCACCCACAAGGTTTCCTGAAGCAACAGGACCTTGACCCAGCCAGCAAACCCACCTAAAAGATCTCCCATTGCCCCTGTCTCCCAGATGAGTGAAAAGTGTCAATGGGGTATGGGAAAGGCACAAATGAAAATGATAAATTCCTTCAAGAAGCCTGGTTTACAAATCTGGAAGGGCTGCAATGGTCAAGGGAGAGGGAAAGGAAACACTCAGCTTGCAGTCTGGCAGCTGAGGGATGGAGGGACCAAGCCACAGTGGCTGCAGGTAACAGGCACAAGTTTTGGAGCCAGGTCCACTCTCCCAAAACTGCACCTGCAGCAGCTTGGTTGCAGCCAGCAGAATGAAGTGTCCTCCAGGTTGGAAGCAGAGGAACAAAAAAAACCCTACTAAAGGACCGAAAAACTCCTTGTATGTATGGCTAATGTTCAGAAGAGAGTTCAGTGTGTTGTGTGAGTAGCAAATCCTTCCCCAGGCTGGGGAGTGTTTGAGGCAGTGGGGTTTTTTTCCTTTCCATTTCTAGTGGCTAATGCATTTACATTCAGCATAACTGCATTTATCAGGATCCACATCTCCTGTTTTAATTTAGAGCATTACAAAAGCAGCAGCTAAATATTCTTTTTATCAGAGCTGGATGATGGATAGTGAACATCAGCAAGGCTTAAACACCCATGTGGAGGTGAATCCCTCGCTCTGACAGACGGTGTGTAATGCAAGAGGCACTTGGTTACAGAGCACTGCAGAGTAACTCTGCTTGTTACTTTTCCAAACTGTGCCAGACAGCAAACTTCCAGAAAACCTCAGACCATATACAGTTAGCCAGCAACACTATGTGAAATCTTTAACCATATTTGAACGAACGGGCTGACTTGGACACGGCAAGGAGGGAAATGCCAGTCTGCCTGACAGCTCGTTTTAATAATGAGAAAGTTGTTCCACTGACAGGAGGACAATAAAAACTGTGGCTGCCTAGAAAGTTGTTGCCTTTCTTCTGGTTCGGAGTATATATGAAACTGCAGAGGAACGGGCTGGTCCTGTGCACGTGCAGCCGTGCTTTTCCCTTCTTTCATCCCTTTTCCCTTCTTTCACCACTTTTCTCTTCTTTCTGGGGTGTTGAATCTGCACCCACCCTGCCAACCCTATCCAAGTGAGGCTCTGGTTTGCATTAGTAAATCACTACTTTCTCATTAAAAATTGCCTAATTTTAAATATATTATCCCTTGTGCTTCAGCTTTAATAGTTAATAACTTTAATAAGTTTAATAACTTTAATAGTTAAAGCTATTAATGCACAATTTATGGGAATTTTGGCTTACAGGGCATGAAAGTCAGATTCTTAAGAGATTATCATCCCTCTGATAATCAGCACAGGGCAAACCTCCACAGCTGATCCTTCATTGATCAAGGAGCTGTATCTTTTATCACTGAACTACTGTGTATTGCACATCATTTAGATGGCAGAACTCTGCGAGGCAGAGACCTTGTCATGGAATGGTTTTGGCAGTGCCACGTCTACGCTGGGATGATGTACATATGTTTTCCAGTGATGAGACAAAGGGCAGGTTTTGCTTTTAACCTCAGGATAGCAGGCAGGCTTGAAGTCCTGCGTGGTAGTGACACAAGCACCGGGGAAACGCTTTCGCAATCGTGGCATCTCGCTGTGGAAATTCCGTCTGTGTTACCGCACAGTGCTCGTTACCATCACTGCCTTCTACAGCTCTGTTATCCCCGGGCCAGAGCTCAGCTGTGGACCCTCGTGGGCTGACTGAAACATGTGGCTTCTCCACATAAAACAAGGGTTTGTGACTTTATTTCCCTCCCCTCCTCTGAGCAATTACTAAACAATTCTTTTGGTGAAAAAAGAAAAAAAGTGCACGCGGTTAATCCCCACACTTTAGAACAATGCTGTGCAGCTTTGGTGAGCCCTGGAAGCTGTCATCCTGCACTGCTGCCCGTGTGAAAGGAGCTGGTGATTGAATCCAGGCCCTTGGAGACAGTATTCAAACCAGCTCCAGAAATGGTGGCTCTGGCTGAAAAACCATTTGGAAGATGAAGAAGCGCTCTGAGCTCGCGGGCTGGCGAGAGAGGAGGCGGAAAACCATCTGCCTGCGTCACAAACTGTTGGGCACCAGCTCTGTGGGAGTTTGTGAGGAACTCCATAGCTTGTTCTGATTTCCTACCAACGGGAATAAAAGGAGATAGATATACTTTTAAATCCAGCTTGATTTAGGAGAACCAGCCAGAGGATCATGGAGTAAGTTCCCATTTCCTTGCTGGGTGCCTTGGGAGGGGTGTCCTGCTGAGGCTGGACCTGGGCAGGAAACCCAGCCTTGCCTCATGCTGCCAAATCCCCTCCTGCTGGGAGCAGAGCAGCCTTCAGCAATGGCCAACAAAGGATGTCTTCAGCATGACCCTGGAAAAAGCAGTTAGAGAGCACCATGTTGGAGCACTCATTGAAATCCAAGCATGGAGGAGAGATGGCTGTGCCATCCAGTTGACACTGCAGAAATTCACCATCACCTTATCCCTTGTGCTGTGCCAAACCAGGTGTCACCAGTGAGACACAAACAGAGCTGAGTGTTGATCCAGCGAGGCCAAGTAGGCAGAATGAGCCCACTCTCAGAGTGTATTTAAGTGCTGGCTTGCTCTGTGTTTCAGATACCCTCGCCAGCAAGAAGTGGTGTGCAGCTGCCACCTCCTAGGGACAGGCCACCACCAGTTTGGAAAGGGCTAAGGTTTCAAGAGTGAATCCTAAACAACATCCCTTCTTCCAACTGCTTGCCTGGCAGAGGCACAACACAGCAGCCCCCACGGAGCAGCTGTTGTGGCAGCTGAGAGGAGGGTTCACTAGCAGAGAAATTAGAAATCCTAAATATTTCCAATTTTTTGTCAATTTTCATTAGCTGATACTGATGCAACTGGCAAAAAAAAAAAAAAGCGCTTTTACCATCAGTTATTAGGAAAACATAAAGCAAATGGATTTATAAATGCCATTGTGGAAGAGGCTCTGTCACTTCAAGGCTGTCCTGGCACCACAGGTTTGAAGGGCTGCAGATTTGACACAGGCTGTTCAGCAGTTGGCCTTGTCTTGGGGACTTTATTCAGCATTCCCAGCTCCCCTCTCGCCCCTTTCCAAAAGATATATTCCTGACCCAAGTCTTTTCGAGGAATCAGAAACAGCAAGCATGGCCTGTTGCCATGAAAAAGGGGGCTGTGTCCCTCCTCTTCTAAAATGGTTCTGCTTAAGCCGGAAAATGAGTCTGAGTTTTAAAATACACCCTCACCTTTTTACACGCAGGGAAGAGCTGCTGCAGTTGCTATCGTGAGGCTGAATCTTTGCGTAATTAAATTCACAGTAATCTCCTGTGAAGGCTCAAGAGAGATTCAGAGCTTTGCGCTGATGCGACTGTTCCAGTCCTGTCCTTCAGTTCTGTTACTGTGACATTGTCTCCATGTTCTCCATGGCTCCACGTTCCTCCTCAGGGATGGAGGTTCCTGAAACATCCTGCAGCTGAAGGAAGCTGTGCTGGTGGGCACATGTGGGCAAGGCTGAAAGGGATGGATCCTGGAGACAGACCCACTGGAGCCAATCCTTCCCCCAGGCTTCCTGCTGAACCTGGTGTTGGCAGAGACCTGGAGACCTGGGGTGTGGTGCAGGATCACTGCTGTCCCCATGCAGTCTGGCAGAGAGGCTGCACTGCTCTGGCTTGATTTCTGATGTTGAGGTGGTGAGTGGATGCCTGGGCTGCAGCTGAAGTTTCTCCAAGCAGAGGGTTTCTTGTAAAGCAGCAGCTTGTGGTGGCCTTGCCAAGTGGACCAAAGAGGCTCATCATCCATCATGGCTCTCAACTCCTACAAAACCACTGGATATGGAAAGTAGCTCCCAAATAAGAATCTTTGAATTCCATGAACAGAAGTATTTCTAAATGATTACATTACTGCTTCTTGAAAACACATGGTGGAAAATCACACAGCAGTCCAGGAGGGGTCTTCTCTTCTGTAGTCCCTGCTCAGAGGAGACTGCAACCCTGTAACTCTGCTTTTAGCATCCAAAAAAATATTGGCCAGGGTGCCAGAAGCTTTCTACTCATCATCTCCAAGAAACTACCCTCCAAGGGTCATGTGCTGCTCCTCTGGAATCTTAACACTTTTCGTGAGAAAGAGCAGATACAGACTTCCAAGGCTGTGGCTCTGTCTTTCATGGGCCTGTTGAAATTCATAATGAAAACCAAGTTTTCTTGTACTCTGCCTGTACTGCAGAGTAAAAGTGTGGAGTTGACAGCAAGGAAAAGAAATCCTGAGACAGTATATTGGGTGGGCAAGTAATTTGGCATCATCCCTGAGTCTGGCCCTTAAAAGAACAAATCAGCGGCGAGTCACTGTATCCCTGGTTTTGTTTGGATCTGGGACAGAGGCTGAGGAGGGAAAGCTGAATCATTTGCCCCATGGGTCAAAGCCTTGAGCAAGGGGCGAGCCTTGTGCAGCACAGCAGCTTGCACCAGAACTCGTAATTTGGAAATTATGCTAGAAGCAGCTTTTGAGAATCATTTCTCAGGCAATCACAATGACAATTAGTCATTAGCACCTATGATGTTCTGATTTCTTAATAGCCGTAGCACAGAACATTTGTTAATATTTAGTAGTGTTTTATTTGTTTTTGTTTCTTTCAAAATCAGAACCTTTTGGAAGAAGACCTCGCAATCACATCCAGCTTTCTTAGGGTTTGCACAGTTAAATCCAAATATCCTAAACTGGCACATTCTGTTTTATCTGGTTTCTGTATCTTCATCCAGACCAGGAGGATGAAGCTCAGTTTAATGCAGGACCAGGAGGAGGGAAGTTCTCTGCTTCCTAACTGGAGGATCTCAGTTCCCAAGTGCCTTGGACTGCTCCCACGTGTAAGTTTTGGGTAATGAGATCGTCAAGCTCAGGGTCAGAGGCGAGGTACTCGATGCCAGTTTTGAAAACCCATTCATTTTTGCAGGTTTTCTTCTTTCTGGTGCCAAGCTGGAAATACTTTAAAGGCTACTTGGAGAAACTGTAAATGAATAAGTAATTTTTAAGCTCTTCTACTTGCTTAAACAAGAAAGGATTGGGAGAAGAACAGTTGTTTAATTAAACAGCTACTTGGTATGGTTCACAAAAGCTTGAACTCCAGCAGTAACTCTCTTAATTCACAGATTCCTTGGGAATTCAATGACCTTGAGTTTGCTGTGCTTGAAACTTGCCTTAGTGCTTGGCTTCCTTTCTGGAATACTTAGGAGAGGAGAGCTGTGCAGAAGGCACTGCAAGACTCTTGAGTGAGACCGGCACTGCTTCACTTAGGATCATATAAGAAGAGGCATTTGTGCTGTACAAAATAAACTTCTTGCTTCAGAGCATGCCTGGAGTTATTGCACCCAGAGGTCACAGCTGGATCTGCCTCTGCTTCCCTAGTAATCTGCCATGGAAATTTTGAGTACTGGCTGCTCGGGATGATTTTCTTGCCCCTCTTTATGAAACAAAGCAAATGTGAACCAGCAGCACATGATGGATGTTGTGTGAGAAGTAACTTGTCTGAGGAATCACATCATTTAATCGTGCTCCAGAGTTCAGGGCTTCACTTGCCAGCTGAGAGGGAAGTCTGATCTCCCAGCGCCGAGTGGCATTTCCTGCATCCTTTCCTGTAATGGCAACTGGGGAGGTTACAGGCATGAACGAGTGGCCAAGTTCAGTGGAAATGAGTGTTTATCCATTACTTCCCTGTGTTTGTCTCCACCATAATAACTCTCTGAAGGAGTGGCTTCAGTCATGTCAGTGTTTAGCTGTGGGATCACACATAAAGTATCAGGATTTAAACAGAGAGAACCTTGAATACCCAGAGCTGTATCCAGAGGGTCTCTACAGTCTCCCCCTCCACCACAGGGATGTCATCAGTAAACAAAGCCCCACTGTTCCTTCCCTTGGCAAAGTATTTAATCAGTTGAGCTGTATTGATGACATAAAAAACAGGAAATAATGATCTGTTGTAATTAATAACTGCAAAGTGCCAAAGCTGTGTGAGTGCAGCTACAAGTATTTCATGCAATTCCTTGGGAAGTGGTTGCACTTCAACCAGCCAACAGGACCTGCCCCCAATACACCACCTCTGCTGCATCTGTGGAAGGAGGAGCAAGGAGAAGATAGGGGTGAGCATCTTGCCTACTTTTGGCTGCAGAGCTATGGACAGGGGCAGGGCTGTCCCAGCACCGGCATTACTCCCGTAGGAGGGCAGCTCCAAACTGGCTGTGGAGAGGGACCACATGCTCATCCCCTGCTGACAGAGGTGCTCGGCGCTAGGTGACATTAACGGTATTTTAATTAGCTTGCCTTTGTAGTTAAAGCCCATCTTGGGCATTTCGAAACCTGCCATACAACATGTCCTGTCCATGATTGCTTTTCATGAGACTTGTGGGGCTGCGTTCTCTGGGCTTTGGTAGTACAATCTGGAGCTGTGAGAGAAAGCCCTCGGGGGCTAATCCGTGGCTGCAGGCCAGTTTCTGCATAAACTGGTCTTATTTTTAAAGTCCATTTTCTCCAGTACACTTTTTTTTGGCCTGCAAAAGACTTCTTCATTTAAAACGAAGAACATAACACTCTCTCCTTTCAGTTGGTCTTTTGGACACGAGCCAGCAGTGCCCACAACAGCTGTACCACAGTTTAAACATTCAGTCTCTAATGGTTTGGGGAACATTAGGGTTTTTAAGGCTTCAACAGGTCTAGAGTAAATAGTGGTCAATAAAGAGTAGCTCTTCTTTGTATCCCTGCGCTCTCAGTGCTCCGCACTAGAATAAAGCATGCTTAGAATATAATCATTGCAAAATTAATATCCATGAAAGGTTCTTTTTCTGAAAAGAATCATAGAGGAACCTGTTTCACTAAAAGAAGAGTTTGCAGGAGTTCAGCTCTCAGGGCTCTGGTAACAGGCATGGGGAGGTTTGCACGTAATGTCTGTTGGAGACGTGCGTGTGCTGGGCTTGTGTCGCTCCCCACGTATGTGTTTAGTGGCTGCTACATGGGAGGAGCAAATAAATTATAGGTATTACTTTTTCTGTGGCCTTCCTGCACCCCGCTATTAATGATGTACACAAGAGTTAATTATGATTTTTTTTTGTCTTCCTTATGGCTTTCCAGTATTGTGTGGAGTTGGAAGTTGGTGTGTGCTAATAGGTAATATTTAGCATAGAGTTTTGGACCCACATAAGGTAGAAATTATGTTAGCAGTGATTTGTGATAGTTGGGCATTGCCCTTGTTAGTCATTGAACCCAATGTTAGTACTGTCTTAGTGATTTGAGCAAGTTGATGTTGGTGAGGAGCTGTCAAACAGCATGGAGGGAACTGCTCATTTCCTCCAATTTTGTAGATGTGGGTGAGAAAATACAACCACTTCTTATTGTGCAGAAAAGCCTATGAACATCCCAGGGCTTCTGTGGCCCTGGGTCAGTGTCCACGGGCACCTCGGCCCAGGAAGGGTTAAATTGCTCCATTGGCCTCTGGCCACTCAGACTTTGTGTACAACACTTCATGCTGCTGTGAAAAAGTAGTTTGTGAGTCCTTGTACTCTCCACAGGGAATTTATTAACCCCTTCCAATACTCTTTGTGTTTCCTGACAGTGTACCTTGGCTCCCAGATGGGCGATTGGAGCTGCAGGAAGCTGGCACATCCCGAGCCCACTGCAGCTTGCAGAATGAAGGGAGACAAGAGGACTAGGAGAGGGGGAGACTTCACAGGAAAAATATTGAACGTGCCAGCCTTGCAAGGCATTCTTGTGAAAAATAGGATTATATAGAAGCCTGGCTACTGTGGTGCCTCTCATTAACTGCTCTGCAGGATTGGCTGGAGCGCAGGGTTTGGGCAGTTGTCACCTTTTTGGCTGGAAGAAGGTGGCTGTTGATAGGTGCTTCGGTTGTAAATTGCTCTGTGTTGAAGCACCAGTAAAGTCTTGCTGAGATATGTTTTATTTTCAGTTCCGTTTTTGAAGCAAGGTAGTTTTTGGAAGAGGCAAGATGTAGTATTAGAAGTTCCAAAGTTAACCAGTGTACCTAAAAAGTGACTCCTGAGGGGCAAGGCACAGTTTCAAAGTATGCCTCTTAACTTTATTTAGGGCCATTTGCTAGAGGTTCCTATCTTTACTTCCATTGGGAAGTTTCATAACATTTTCCTACCCATCGGTATTCTATTAAAACTTCGTTGTGTAATCTAAAAGTCTTTCTGCTTCTCATGGTTTCCTCCTGTAGCTAATTCAGAATGCCCTAGGTAGCAATTTTGGAGTAAATGCATTCAGGCTGCGTGGTCTTGATTTTGTTTTCTTATAAATTCAAAACAAGATTTGAAATTAAGTCCTATTGTCAATTTTCCTTTAAATAATGGAAATCAGATAGTGACGTGATTTAAGAACTTTTATCTAATGTCACAATACTCCTGGGAAAGCCTCTGCCTTTAGTTGTAGTTAAAAGGTCAGTAAAATTATTGCCATATGCATTTAGTGCTTCTCATTATTTATATATGTAGCTTGAGAGAGGATAGATCAGTGGAGTCAGTAAAATATCCATGTGGGTCCTGCAGTGTTGGGCTGATCTTGTTCTTCCCGTGTGAGCTCTCCACTGTAATAAATTGTGCTCACAGGACTGACCCTAAGTGGGTGTGATTTGAGGTCTCCTAGAGCCCTTCACAGGAACAGCGAGGTTCAAAGTGACCAAAAAATAAAGTGTTATTAGTAGAGGAAACAATATGGGGATAGAAATGAAGAACATCTTTGGGTGAGTGGAAAAACATGCTTCGTTTGGATAACTCTGCTGAACGTAGGATTAGACCAGGCGACCTCTGCCCGTAGCGCGCTTTTAAATCTTGCATGACTTCTAAAGGGATATTATGCATCTCGACAGGCAGCTCATCTGGGGCCTGCCAAGAGGCCATGGCCAAGATGTTCTCCTTTGGCTGCATTGCTGTACAGATCCATCTATCCTCTGGCCTGGATTGCTCCCAGACAGCAGGCACGCAGCAGGGATCACTTGGGGGAGAGCGGGAAGAAGGTGAACTTGAGCAGGAAAGAAGGGGTGGGGGGCTGGGGGTGACCCATGAAATAAATGTCCTTTCTTTCTCAATCTGGCTGAAATTCCTCCCTCCCTCCTTTGCAATGAATTACATTTGTTCAGATTAAAATCCACGCTTCCAGTAGGCACAGCTTGCTCCCGAGCTGTCGGCAGCAGTGCGCCGAGTGGCAGCTTTCAGCGTGCACACAGCTGGTGTGTTAAGATAGCAGCAATTAAATCCAGGTGTAAGTTTATTCCTAGCTTCAGTGTATGTCCACAATAATGGGAAAAATGCAACCGAAGGCCTAATAAAACAGGGCTTGCACTGCCTCTGAGCAGCTGGTAAAGGGAGGGTTTCTGTTCCGGTGATTTTCCCTTTAGTGCTTGGTTTAATTACCGTCATATTTGAGCCATTCTCGCTGGTTTTTGTTTTCGGTTTAGCTCTTTGCTAATCTTTACAGCCCTTTACAGTCCTTTGTGGTTTATTGACTGTGTTACCTGTAGCAAATTCTACTGGCAGCAACATCAATTGGGTCCAATATTGAATGAAGGTGCAGTGCCGGTTCCTCCGGCAGGTTGATGATGTTTATGCTGTAACATAGAATCATGATCTTTTTAAATTTCCTTTACCTAAGCTGGTATATACCTTTGGCCTCTAGGGCTTTTTTCTCTTGTCTTTTTTTTTTTTTCAGCTTATTTTCCACATTATCATCGTGATTTCTCTTTCATGCTATCAGCTACTGCCTGTGCTACTGAAAACAGGAAAGCTGGTTTGTCTGCTTTCCTAAGGCTTGTAAATCTAATCTCAGCTCTCTGTCTTCTTGTTTTGAAATAGCAGTTTCCATAAGATGTTTTTATTGTAGTGTACACATGCATCCTGTATTACCTGCCTTCTGGAACTCTAGGAATCTCAGGTACACTTTACTGACATTTTAAAATGACAGCTGTAGCCTTGCATTGCAGCACTTGAAATAATGTATTTGGCATCTTGACTAAAACATTCAGCAACCTGGATTTTGAACGCCTAACCCTGGATTTTTTTTTTATTGTTCTTTATTATTATTATTAAAACAATGGGAGGCAGACAAATAGTTAAGAGTTTTGTAGTGAACACTTCACGGTGTTTTTTCCTGGTGATGGTGTGTTGTTGTGAAAAAATGAGCTTACAATCGACTTACTGCTCAGTTGTTTGCCCGATGGTGATATCTCTAGAATGGGCTGTACTAATCCCAAATCCATGATAGATGTTTCTTTCACCAGTTTACAATGAATAATCCTCTTAATTTCCTTGAATAGCAGCTGGTATTGCTACAACCTGTGCCTAAACCCAAGAACAGCTTACTCAGAAAGCCTTCTGGCCCTGCAAGCGAGGAGGAATTCTCTCCCAGCGGGGTTGCGTGGGCTGACTTTCACAGGGACCGCACTGCCGGGACTGTAATTTTTCCTCTCTCTCTTCTAGATGCAGCAGCTGTTCTACGAGAATTATGAGAAGAACAAAAAGGGCTACATCCGAGACCTGAGGAACAGCAAAATACACCGAGCTATAACACTGCACCCCAATAAGAACCCCCCGTACCAGTACAGGCTTCACAGCTACATATTGAGCCGCAAGATAGCGGAGCTGCGCCACCGGACTGTGCAGCTGCACCGGGAGATCGTCCTGATGAGCAAATACAGCAACACTGAAATCCACAAAGAAGACCTGCAGCTGGGGATGCCGCCCTCCTTCATGCGATTCCAGCCCCGCCACCGCGAAGAGATCTTGGAATGGGAGTTTCTTACAGGAAAATATTTGTATTCAGGTGCCGACGGGCAGCCCCCGCGGAGAGGAATGGACTCATCTCAGCGTGAAGCGTTGGATGACATCGTTATGCAGGTCATGGAAATGATCAATGCCAACGCTAAGACCCGGGGGAGGATCATAGATTTCAAGGAAATACAGTATGGCTATCGCAGGGTGAACCCCATGTATGGAGCAGAGTACGTTCTGGACTTGTTGCTCCTGTACAAGAAGCACAAGGGGAAGAAGATGACGGTCCCTGTCCGGAGGCACGCGTACCTGCAGCAGACGTTCAGCAAGATCCAGTTCATGGAGCACGAAGAGATGGACGCCAAAGAGCTGGCCAGCAAAATCAACCAGGATTCTGGATCCTTGTCTTTCCTCTCCAACTCGCTGAAGATGTTCGTTCCCTTCCAGCTCAGCAGATCCAAAGCAGAGAGGAAGGAGCTCAAAGACAAGAAGATCAACATCCTGATTCCTCTCTCTGGGCGTTTTGACATGTTCGCAAGGTTCATGGGGAATTTTGAAAAGACGTGCCTCATTCCAAACCAGAATGTCAAGCTGGTTGTCCTGATTTTCAACTCCAACTCCAACCCTGACAGAGTGAAGCAGATCGATCTGATGAGGGAGTACCGCTCCAAGTACCCCAAGGCTGACATGCAGGTTCTTCCCGTGTCGGGGGAGTTCTCGAGGGCACTGGCTCTGGAAGTCGGATCTTCTCAGTTCCAGAACGAGTCTTTACTTTTCTTCTGTGATGTTGACTTAGTGTTTACTGCGGAATTCCTCCAGCGGTGTAGAGCCAATACAGTTTTGGGTCAACAAGTGTATTTTCCCATCATTTTTAGCCAGTATGATCCAAAGATTGTTTATAGTGGAAAGGTTCCTAGTGACAATCATTTTGCCTTCACCCAGAAAACAGGTTTCTGGAGGAACTATGGCTTTGGTATCACCTGTATTTACAAGGGTGATCTTCTTCAAGCAGGTGGCTTTGATGTCTCCATCCAAGGTTGGGGCCTTGAAGATGTAGATCTATTTAACAAAGTCATTCAATCTGGCTTAAAAATTTTCCGAAGCCAAGAAATTGGAGTAGTCCACGTGCATCACCCTGTTTTTTGTGACCCTAATCTTGATCCAAAACAATATAAAATGTGCTTGGGGTCCAAAGCTTCAACTTATGGGTCCACACAACAGCTGGCTGAAATATGGTTTGAAAAAAATGACCCAAATTTTGGGAAAAGCAGCAATACTAATGGCTCAGTGAGGACAGCCTAATGTCCAGCTATGCTGGAAAAGACTTTTTTTTTAATTATCTAATTTATTTTTGGGAAAATGATTTTTGATAATTCACTTTTAAAAGACCACACAGGATATATTTTAGAAATCATCGTTGTTTTCTTACAAAGCGCTCGTTTCGAGAAGAACAAGGCCCTTGGGTTTTTTTTGTTGTCGTGTTTTTGGTTTTGAACAAAACTGTGATCAATATTTGCCTTCAGACAAAACAAAATAATTGTTTAAGAGTTATCTGACCAATCAGCGGAAATCTGACTTGAATTAGAATTTCCTTATGAACAAAAGATTGTTTCCTGCCGTTTCCTTTGCCGTCTTCGTTGCTGGGATTCTGTAAATTGGGACCTGAGCGTGCAAAGCCAAGTGACAAAACGCTGTGTCTAAATGTTTTGGTGTGACTGCTGCCGTGCAAAGATTCTGCTCCTTTGGTTCAGCATAGCCATGAATTTTCAGTTTGTGTTAGACCAAACCAAACCGCCGTGGCGATGAGAAGGGTGGTAGTCGCACGAGGGGGTTTTTCCTAATTATTTCCTGATTATTTCAGTTTAAAAATACACTTCCACTTATTATGGGCAGGCGACTCCAAGGGAGGGAAGGAAGTAAGCGCAACCCGTGATCCGGTTAGTCCCTGTAGAAATTGTTGTGGTTTATATTTGGTCCATATATGGACGGAATGTTTTAGGAATCCGTGGTGGGTTCTGTGTATTGTCCTCAACCGCTGTCCTAGAGCTGAGCGATGCGACCAAGAAATGCTGAGGTGTGATGTGGGAGGGGAAGAGGCTGGGAAATGGAAATCTCTTGCAGCCAAATGGCAGCACGCAGCGAACAGTCCAAGATTCCTGAAAATAACTTGGAAAAGTCCTCTGCACCGAGTGTCCTGCGCCCGATTGCATCGACTTTGTTCGGTCAATTACATGATGTTAATGGGAACAATTATTACATTTGATTACTAGTTTTGTTTTGGGATTATTTTTTTCTGTATCTTCTAGACCGTTAATTTATTTAATATCCATTGTTTTAGATTCTTGACCTTTCCTTGAATATCTGTTAGTCATTTTAATATTTTATATATATATATATGTGTGTGTAAATATATATATATATATTAGGAATGTATTGCATCTTCTCACTGATAAGGTAGTGTACATCATACTTATAGTAAATGATCTCCAAAGATTACTTTCTAAAATATTTTTTCACGAATCTTTCTTTCCCCCCCCCCCGAATTTCTTTAACATTTTTGGAATCACTTCAGTGAGCTTATGAATTTATTTGGTATTCTAAGAGGAACTGGGGATGGGGAGGCCGAATACAAGGAAAGTGTGATCCCTGTGAATGAACACCTAGTAAGGTAAGAAAAAATACACAAAATAAAGTGCCTTAAAGCCAGAAAGGGAACCCTGTACATTGACACTTAGACAGTGTATGGAAATTGTCATTGAGCAGATGATCTCTTGGGACCTACCTACCTGTAAATATCCTGCTCAGCAGAAACAAAAAATAAAAACCAGTGAACAATATATTTTTCTATCATATCCTCCAGCACCATTTCGTCTCATTGCCCTCCGTTCCACTTTGCCTACTCTTTGGGAAGTGGAGGCGAGTGAAGGAATGGAGAAAAGCTGATGCTTAGGTGGTTGTTGCCATGTTTGAAGGGATCTTACAGAGCAATTGCTATTCCAGTAGAAGAAATAACTGTTGTTCACACATGTGTGGAGTACAAACTGCAGCTAGTGTAGAGTCGGTGTCTTACAATATTCATCATTTTCTGGGGACAGTCCCAAGGATGTAGGTACTTGGATGAATTCAGTGCATGGAATTTTTTTTTCCTTCTCTCTTTTTTTTTTTTTTTTTTTTTTTTAAGACTTGCTTCTAAGATGCAATAAAGATTTTTTTTATTTGCAATTGGAGCTGCTCACGTGGTCAGTCCGTATCGTTTCATCCGGCGTAGGCACAGCGCAGAGGTGACGTAACTTTGGGAAGTCCAGGTAAAAGGATCTCCCATCTTTCCAAGGGTTTTGACCTCTCATGTTGTGTTTTGGCCTGGAATAAACTTAATGCCATATCCTGTGGCTGTGGAGAAAGGGAGAACAAACCTCTTCATCAGACTTCAGCACACAGCGCTGTCGAGCTCTGCCATCCCCTGGTTTTGACTTTTTCCTCATGAAAAGATTCAAAGTACTTTTGCTGTCTGAAAATATCCGCAGCTATAGATTCCAAATGCATACAGTGACAAGGCTGAATGATGTCATAATGTTTTGTGTATTCAAAACACAGTAAAAATAATTTTGAAGTGGGTTGAGAACTTATTTTTAATAGCTCTGCCAGTTGTTCAGTATTGGCGTGAGGCTTTTTTATGTAAAAACTAAGTCCCAAAGCAAGAATCTTAGGGATTGCAGAAGTGTTTCTTCACACAAGGGAAAGGGGAAAAAAAGCAACTTGTATTTGTGGCTGCAGAAAAGAGTTTGAAGAATAGGAACCCTAAAGAACCGCACCAAAAGAGAGGGGGGAAAAAAAGCCCTGTATTGGTACTGTATTTATTAACATTTATGATTATGTAGGACTTTTTTTAGCCCGTAACAGCTGGTAAAAGCAGAATGTATGTAACTGGAAAAAGCCATTTAATAACCAGCACTGATCTGGTATTGGGGTTTTTTTGCTCAGTTGCTGCAGTTCTAATTCTGTTACCAAATCTGTATTAGAAGTGACTTTTCCACCAAGCTTGCAGGCAGCTCTCGAGGCCCCACATTGTTCACACTGGTCATGTATTTTATGGACTCACAGCTTAAAAGGATTCAATTTTAAAGTTAAATCTCCAATTATAGCCCTCTGTGATAAAGTCTAACTGTATAAAACCCATTTTATAATAAAATAAATGGTATTTGCTGCCCCAGTTGTAAGGAGCTGGACAGGTGGAAGCCATCGGTGATCAGGTGCTAACCCAGCCTTCACAAAAATCCCTTCTGGGGCTGGAACATTTTATCTGCAATTTACTCCAGTTGTTTGGTTTAGAGAGAAGTTTCCTTCATGCTGAGAAGCCCGTTGGTGCTGGGAAACCCCAGAGGGTTTGCCTCTAGGTAGAAGAAAATGAGATGGTTCCATCCTGAAATCCTGAAGAACATGGTGACCAGTCATGTGCTGAGCATTGCTGTCTATTGAGATGCTTGTCTTCTTCATTAAAACAATTAAAAATGTGAGACACTTCTTTCCCTCGTTTTTCTGGTGTAGGTAATCCGGGTTGGATGCTGTGCTGGCTACGGGCATCCTCACAGCATTAAAACTCCCACCCAAGTAGAGCTTTGCAGCCCCTCAGCACTTGGATTTAAACCCTTCACCTTCTCTGAGCACCCATGGAGGCGAACACTGTCCCACATCCCCGTGCCAAGGATGAACTTGCCAAAAAGAGGCAAAGGAGACAGGGAGAGCACAGGCCTGGGAAAGTGCTCACACAGTGGTTTCAGTGACCGTTGTGCTCCATGTGACACATTGAAAGAGGTGAAACATTTGTCTGTAACTTTGCAGAGTCACTATCTGTGGAAGGATTTCAAGATTTTTTTACTCACAGTGGGATTTATTACCTGGAAAACTCAGTGACCAGCTCCAGGCCTGCACAGCTTCCCTGGATCAGGCTGGATGGTTCCTTTCACCAAAATCAGCAGAAAGTCCCGCTGACCCAAATCTGCTTACTCTGAGTTTCTGTGGAAGCTCTAACTTTACATTGCAAATTATTGGCCTGAGCTGTTTCGCATGAATACCTGCTAAAAATACCCTGCTCGCACAGCCAGCAGCACTTGGGAGCTCTTTGGAAAGGAAATCTTGCAGAGGCATTAAAAATGAGGAGCAGGTCAGTGCCCTGCCCGAGGCAGATGCATCCAGGTCCCACCGGGCTCCTCCTCTGCTCTGGCCATGGTGATCCCTGGGCTGGTGGGACACTGCCCCTGTGGGACCTGTTTTAAATCAATGTTTTTGTGCCCAGGTCTTCCCTCTGCCAGCGTGAGTTATTGCACTGACTGGAGCAAATTCAGGGGGTTTGATCTCAATTGGAGCTCCAAAAAAGCCACCTCCTCCCTGGGCACGGGCAGTTTGGAGACATCCTGGGCTCCCCAGGCAAGGCAGTGCAGCCACATCCCATGAGGAATCCTTTCCCAACTCTTTTACTGGATTTTACCTGGCTGCTGCTGCCAGGAGCACTTTTATTCCTCACTTCAGACCTGCTGCTGACGCTTTCCCAGGCACATGAAATGTGTCCACGTCCTTTCCAAGCTCCAAAACCCATCTCCCAGCTCTCTTCCAGCCCAGGAATCTTTATCACCTTCTAAATCACATTTATGAGCCAGGTGAAAAAAACTGAATTAACATCAAAAAAATACCAGCCCAAATACCGGGCTGGCTGTGTTTACTTTCACACTTTAATTCAATAAAAACCTCAACTTTAATTGACCTGAATCAGCTCCAACATTTCCAGCATGCTGGACTGGAGTGTCTTGGAAATCAGGGGTCCCCCCTGCATTGCTGGGGGTGCTGGGAGGACTTTGCTGGGGTCCTGCTCCGCCTCTCACTAACTGTTTTAGAACAGGAAAACAAACAAATAACAACACCTTGGTGCTTTGTTGACTTTTCACCAAGAGGGCCCACACAGAGGGCACAGTTTAAAATAATTCCACGATAAAACAAACTTCCAAAGCAAACAGGCTGTGATAAGGGCAGATAAAGGCTGTTTGCTGGGTTGGCGTTGGCTTTGCCAGTGTTGGCTTTGCCAGGATGGTTCTTTGTGGTGGGGTAGGACCATATTGGCCCTGAGGAACCTGAATCACTGGGTGTTCCACGTCATGGGTGTTCCACCCCAGTGCAATCCCTGGCACCATCCTCATCCCAGCCCCCATCCTTATTCCCAACCCCATTCCTGGTCCCATCCTTCTCCTTGTTTTCATCCCCGTCTCCATCCCCAACCCCATTCCGGGTCCCATCCTTCTTGTTTTCATCCCCGTCTCCATCCCCAACCCCATCTCTGGCTCCATCCTCATCTTCATCACAGTCCCCATCCTCATCCCCATCTCCATCCCCAACCCCATCCTCATCCTCCTCAGTTAAGCCTCCAAATCCCGACGGAGCTCCCATCCCACTGCTGCCAGACGGGGTAAGCTGAGGACAGGCCAGCAGCCTGAAATAGCCACAATATTTCCTGTCCTTTTAAAGTTTGCTTAAAGAAAACTAATTTCCTCTGTCCCTTTGGTAGCAGAATACAAAGTAGCCAGCGCTGCCCCTTTCCCCACCTCCCTTAGAAATCATCTTAGTTTTTTCCTTACAGCAAAGCCGAGAGATTTTAGTGCAGCTCAGGATGAGGGAGAATCCAAGTGGTGTGTGAATGCCCACCTGCCCTCACCTTTGTCATGGGGGCACAAGAGATGGGTTTTGCTCTAATATGTTAAATTATGGTATTTCCTGCCCCATTGTCCAGGACAATGTGAGCAATGGGGCAGAGTCAGCCCTTCTGCCCTTGCCTAGTGGAATTAGCTGTTTTCCTGCACACAGAGAGGTTGGTTGGGTTTGGATAGCCTCAGGCTGGCGAGGTCAGTGCACCCACAGAGCTGGGAGCTTGTGCTGGGCCCCAAAATGCCCTGAGAAAGCATGAGAATGTGGGGCCTGTGCCTCAAGCTGGGATGTGGGTACTGGGCACAGCAATCATTCTTCATCCCTATCCCTGACCCTGCATCCCTCTCACCACACTGATGCCAGCAAAGAAACAGCCCAAACCAGGAATAGCAATCAGTATCCAGATGGGAATTGGGTCTGTTTCTTTCAAAGCAGGTAAAGGACCTCTAAGCACTCCAGGAAAATGCCCAGGCTGGAGCATGTGGCTCCTTGCTCGCAGGAGGCAGCTGGGAGAAGGGGCAAAGCTGGGGGGGTCTGGGGCTCCAGCACTGATGGCTCAATTAATTCCTGTGCCAGCAGATCCTGTTGTTCATCTCCCTCAGCTTTCTTGATGAGCAATAACTGCCCTGGCACCGCCACCCTCCCACTGCTGGGGCTGGTAGAGGGGGTTAATCCCGTTTGAGAGCATCCGCTTCCCTCCAGTGCCGAGCCCCTTCCATGTGCTCCCGCTGCTCCCAGACAGGGCTGAGGGAAACCTCATGTTGACAAAATAAACCCAAGCTCTTTTCTTGCCTCTCCTCGGTCAGCTGAAGGAAT